GTCTGTATGTCTGTATGCATCTATGTATGTATGTATGTATGCATGTATGTATGTATGTATGCATGTATGTATGTACACATTCTGTTTGTCTTTTTGGCCTGCATGGTGGTGTGTCACAGTCATGTCACTGTTTCAGCAAAGCTCCGGCCTGTTTGCAACAGTCTCGTGAATCGTCATGAGGATCAAACGTTTGGCGGTGGCATGCTGGCTACGAATCAGCCCGATATCGACGAGATTTCGAGGCCTTCAAGCTACCTCTTCGGAGCAAGTTGAGCCAACACGAAAGAACGCCTGCGCAATTGGCAACGAGTGACTCGGTGCTGTCTTGCGTACACGGATTCGCTAAAGGAAACGGTAGCTGCCCTTGCAGGAAGCTGTACGAGCAAGTGACGTCGCTGCGCTCCTACTGAGAGCAGTTTCAGCTCAGCGCAGCGCACAGCGGCTCAGAGTCTCAGCTTCTGCCTGCTACCTGACTTGCGGCCGACGGCTCAAGCTTGCCTGTCTGCCATGCTGTCCCTGTGCCCACAAACTTGATGGCCCTTCTTAGCCTCGGGCCTCTGCTGGCTTTCTGTGTTGCCTCGTCCTCGATTCTGGCCGTTGCTGCCGATGAGTGTGCACGGAAAGACGAAAGCTGCAGGGAAAGTGTAGACCATGAGGCCAGTTTTGTACAGGTCAGGAGAGAGCACTTCAGGAACGGCTCTTGTGCCGGTGACATCTTTACCACCGTTGCCAAGAACATCGGCGGCGGGACCCTGTCCGAAGAGCAGATAGCCACAACACTCGCGCATGGCTGCGATCCCACGAAGTCCAGCTACTCAAAGCATTGCCCAGAAGTGAAGGAGTTGCACACGAAGGCCTATGTCCATACACTTCAGAGACTTAATCGTCTCCTGCTCAAGTTTGGGTCGGTGGCAGCGTCGTTCGATGACTTCAGCATGGTGTCGCTCTACAACTGCATCTGGCACAACCGTCACAACCCTGGCGACACGTTCGGAGACGAACCGTTCGACACATGCACTGAGGACCAGCTGTGTGCGATGATAACTACTGCAGAGGAATATGAGCACCAAATGCCCGAAGTTTCTCTCGAAGCATTGCGGAAGAGCCGCGTGCATCGCGAGTTTCGAGGATCGCATGCTGGATGGCCCGGAACAGGGAAGGACTTCCCGATGGTCCGGGTCTCTCTGCTACACAAATCAGATGGGACGGCAGCAGCCCCTGAAACTATTCTGGGGCGGGGTGGCTTGCGGCTCTCTTCGGTGAGTGGAGGATGGGCGAAACGGTCCACTCTTCACCTCGAGCCAAAGTATTCAGAGGGCTTCCAGATCGCTTGGGGAAAGATACGCGATGGCATGCTTCCAAACCAGGCGCTTGGAGTGCCTTATACCCACCTGAACGTGGATAGCACGAAGCCACTTTTCCAGAACCTCTCCTTCTTCTGACTTGTGACTCCAGCAAGTTTCGTGTCGGCGGGACTTTTGGGGCTGTGTTTTGGTTCGTTTTGTTTTTCCCTGCAGGTGCTGGGAGGGCCTCCGCTCCATCTGGAAAGTGGTTTGGTGGAGGCGGCGCCTGGGAGCCTGGTCCGGAACTTCTCGGATACGCCGGTTGCCGCGAAGATGCCTCCTGCTGCAGGAAGTCCCATCACCCTTCTGGTGATCGGCGACTCTTGCAATGGTAACATGTTTGGTGGCGGCCAGTGCGTTTTTCGTGACTACTATGGAGTGAACAAGACACTCCCAACTCTTTTGAATGCTGCCTTGCCCAGCACCGATGTCTGGTACTTGACAGGTGGGCCGGATCAAGAGCCCAAATCAAAAATGCGAGGGAGTGTTTTGTGCCAAACTGAAGGCCCTGTAACTTGGAACTGCAGGTGACAACTTCTACGACCGCTACGGCGTGTTCTCCGTGAGTGTATTTGCACAGCTTGAACCCGCTGCACAGGGCGTGCCGCTGCTGTCCACGCCTGGGAATCACGACTACTGGTTTGAGGGGATTCCAGAGTTCGCCCTCGACGACTCCTTCCTGGGCTACGACCAGTTCGGGTTTGGTGGGGCGCAGTTCTACGCCATGGACACGGCGGCCTCTTGGGCTCCCCAGGCACCCCACGAGGACTTGACCTCACCCAAAGGCCGCCCAGCCTCGCAATTCTCACAGGCGCCGGCCTTTTTGGATCTCTCCGGGAAGCCCAAGGAGCATGCCAAGGCAGTGAACTTCCAACACTACAGCATCGCCGGCAACGTCGGTTTCATCGTCATCACCTGCGTCGGGGGAGATCCCCGGCCCTTTGTCAAGGAGGCATGCACCTTCATGAAGCAGAAGAACCCTGACCTGGTCTTGCTTCTTGGCCATTGGAACAAGCCAGGCAGTGGCTGCACCACTGGCTGGGACGTGCCGAATGTCACAGCCTGGGCGCTTGATCACTCAGACTGTGCTGCTTTTCGGGGTGAGTCAGGTGAGGCACCCTATGGCTCAAAAGGAAAAGCAGCAACACGCATGAAGTTCATAGTTGGTCATCAGCACTGCAACTGCATGACCAGCTTTGAGCAAACTTTGAAGGACGGCTGCTTGGATGACCATACAGATCCGTCTAAAGTTGACGGCTTCATAATTGGCTCACATGGGATGAGCTGGGATCCACAGCATTCTCCAAAATGCAGCTCGCGTTTTGGCTTGCCGGTGCTTCGCACAGATGGAGGCAAACTGACCTTCGCGTATGCAAAGCTGTCTCTGGATACATGGCTGACGCACTGCAAGCCCTGGGAAATATTCTGCAAAGACCGGCCAGGTGAAGTGTCACGAACAGATTTGTGGAAATCTTGGTTCACATTTACGCCGTCGCACTGGTCACCGAGGGTCGCAGGCCCCTACGGAAAGGGCATCATCCGAGAAAAGATGGATGGCCTTGTGGCCTGCCTGAGAGAGAAAGGTACGAGCGAATGCTCAAAGGATGCAAACCTCTTTGACCAGTGGTACTCCAACGAATTAAAGTAGCAGAGCAGACCGGGCCGAGAACTTTTAGAAGTGGCCTGTGTAGACCTGTCCACAGCTTTCGTAGCGACCGCGATGGATTTCACCCTGGACATAAGCTCCGTGATGTTCCATGCGAGTCAACAGGGAGGTCGCCATGGGTCGCCTGCTCTCTGGTGAACCCCAAAGGCCCTAAACAGTCCGGACAAACCGGGATCCCCAAAGTCTCGCACTCGCGCGCGTCAAGGCTGAACGACACGGGCCAGTCTGCTCTGGCATGCCTCATGCTGCAGGAGTGTCAAGAGGTCGGCCTTTGCAAGTCTACCAAAGGAGTTCAGCTTCAACGAGCTGTTTCGACAGGAATGCTGGAAAGCACTTTGTGCCCAATTGGAGCACAAGCGGATTCCTTAGTACATCGTTTTGCATCAGATGTGGTCGCCTCAGCTGCACGACTCTGTTCGGAGTGGGCAAGGTTAGGATGCTCCATCCGTGCATGTCTCAGACATGGACAGGAGCTCTGCATCTCCAATTTCTCCAGGTGTGGAGATCGGAGACTGAGGTCACATAGCGTCCAGCAACTCCTCCACTTACCCGGACCTTATGGATGAGGAGTGTCACTGAGAGCACTGTCGCTTTGCTGTGCAGAAAGGGCGCATCGCTGCGAGAGAAGGAGGAAGAGGAAGTGGTCAAACGACTGGACTCCGAAGCCTTGCGAGAAGGTCTGAGAGAGGCCGCCCATCTAAGTGAGATGCTAAACTGCTAAACGAGATAAAGCGAGTGACAAGTCGAGGTCTTGAGCTCCATGCAGCGGGATCTTCCGAACTCGCGGCCTGTGACGCTGCTCGAAAGGAGGATGGTCACGTCAAGGCCGGGATTCGGGACGTGCGGGGCAGGGCTATCGGGGACCCGGGACTTCTGGTGCTTCGGCTGCGCTAAGCTGCTCTTTCGTCGGCGCCGATGTCAGGAAGAGCTCCGATAATTCCTTGCTGAGCTTGTGAAACCGGTGAGTACTCAGAAGCCTATACAGCTGGCTTCCGGTATGCTTGTCCCGTGACAGCGGCCAGAGCCAGAGTGCTTCTGGCCAGCACGAGAAGTGGCTTTCTGAGAGCGACTTGCTGTCGTGCAGAGAGGTTTGGAAAGTTTGCAGGGTTCAGAGAGGACGGGATAGCATGCTCGCTACGGTCGCTACGCTTGTCATGTGAAGAGGCTGTAGATTTTCCTGTTGACAGCCCTGGTGCCAATGCATCGAAAAGCTGCCTGGGCTTGAGTCTTTTGTTGTCATCTTTTGTCAACTTCAGTCTTCGGGTACAGTGCATTCAATCCCTTGCAAGGGTTCGTTCGAACCCAAGCTGATGCCCGGTGAAGCTGTGTCCAGAGAGGCACTTGGGTGCCTTTCGGTTTAACTTCTGTTTACTTGGACCTAGTGTTTACATGTTTTTACTTATGTCCGCAGCACACAAAGTGACTGTGTGGGACATACTACCCCCTGCAGTGTTGTGACGCTACAGATGCGAAGCAATGCTTCCCGACAGGTTGACAACTGAACGAGGCGGAAAGGGTGGCCCAAGGCACCCTAGATTAAGCAGAGCCGCGTGGCTTGCTCCACAGTGGACTTGGAGAAAGAGTCCGAGAAGCCTCGAACCAGGGTCTTTGCTGCAGCCAGCTGCGATTGATTGCTTTAGAGGTAATGTGGCCGCAGCCAAATGCTGGCTTAGGTTATGCTTGAAAGGTCGAGTGCAGATGCACTCACCAAAAGCAGGGACAGTAGACAGTCGACATGTGGTATCGGGGCTGCCAGCACACTTCGCAGACAGCACCTTCCACTCTTCCCAGAGGCCGCAACTAGGTCAAGATAAACACACTGCTGTTGCTGCCAGCTACGCCTTCCTGTGCGGAGCTCAGAGGTCCAGTGGTGCCGGGGCTTTTTCCGAATCGACACCTGAGGACATGGAAGGTCGCGCTCCCGTGAGGGTGCCAGTGCTCTGTCTGCAGCGCATTGCGGCGCAGTTGAGATAAAGGCAATTAGAGACTCCGCCGCTGTCTTTGCCCTGACCGAGTCTTCGCCGTACAGAAGCGCGTCTGGCATGGTGAGGGCCCTTGTTGAGCCCGGAAGCTCTTTCAAGCGGCTGCGCACACACTCTGCCATGTCCACTAGGCTAGCACACTGGGGACTGGAGCGAACAGGTTCAGGCACCTCTGGCTGTTTGGCACGACTGTGACTCACACAGCATGGCTAGAATTCGGTGCCTTCCGCACAGGAATCAAACATCTGTATCTTCGAGACTGCTCTGTCATGCTCTGTCTGAGGGAAGCCTTTGCACTTTGCACTGGGGAAGGTCTGCGAGCCCTTCCAGACGAGCTCTGGCCATCGCCCGGCCCCCGGCCAAAGAGCAGAGGCGGACTCTGGGAGCCTTCGGCGCTCAGGACATGCGGCGAATCGCCAGCTTGCTTCGCAGCAGAGCCAAGTCGAAGGCTCCGGCAGGGGCACTTCGCGGAAAAGACTTTTCCTCAGGTGACCCAGCTGGGGCTCTGCAAGGCAATGGAGAGATGCTCGGCTGCAGAAGATCTCCGTCTCCACCTTCCTGCCTTGTTCCTGCCTCGTTGAGCACCAGCCCGGAGTCTCAAGGGCGGAGGAGCACCGACTCTGACGGTCTTGGGGGGAAAGCAACGACATTTCCAGGCGAGTCTTGCGCAGGAGCTGAGGCGTGCGGTGCCAGGGAACAAGAAGCCTACCCAACCCGGAACCCGGAAACTGCTGAGCTTTGAAATATCGCGACAGCACTGACAATCCTAACTGCATTGAGGCATGAGAGGTGCTTCTTTCCGGCAAACAGCATATTGGATCGCTGAGAGGTGAAGCCATGAATGCCTTATTCCCGGCAGTGAAAATGAAGGGTATGACTGCTTCGATCCCCAGGTTGGGTCACATTGCACTTCCGCGGTCTTGGCTTTCCTGCGTTTTCTTCGTACGCATTGCCCAAGGAGTATGAACAATTCAATTTGTTCAAGCCCGAACAGCGTGACGAGCTCAGAGAACAGTGGCATTGGGTTTCCAAGACGTGGTGAATCGGGGCGCAACTGGTGCTGCTCCTTGTTCGTGTGAAAGCCACAAGCAAAGAATTCTCACAGTGTTCAGAAATTCAAACTGCCTGGTGTTTGACATGTGTTGACCAAGGCTTGGGAGCCTGGAGATCGGGGGGCGGCCCCCACCGTGGGTGCATCTGCTCGAGCACAGCACTCAGAACGATGACTTCACGGCCCCAAAGCATTCTGTCGGCGCTGTTGTCAGCGTTTATGCGATCCGAGGCCTCCAGCTTGTCACGCATGGCCGACCCGACCCGTTGCCAGAATGCATCTGGCTTTCGAGCACGCACCTGGTGGACCTGTCACGGCAGGTGATGCAGAACCAGTTCACTGCGCTGGCAGAGAGAATGAACACTGGGGTGCTGCTCTGAGCTGCTACAGGCAGATCCAACTATGTGTATTTCACACAGGATGATTGCAGTACTTCATCGCTGCCCAGGTGTCAAGTCTGCAGCGTCAATGTGAGGTTGACAGGTCACGCCACCTGGTGTGCATGCAAACCCCTCTACTTGTTTGGGGAGCGCTTGCGAGCCAGGCCAAGTAGGCTTCTTCAGGTCCGCTCTTTCCGCGAAGCCAGGAGGCTCGGACATGAAGCCGCCGTTAGCCTGGGGAGATGAAGGGCTCCCGGAAGAAGCGCATGACCTGGCGTCGGCGAAAGCAACGCGGCCCCAGAAGTGCCGATCCTTGACCGAGTGGCTCCTGGAGGGCTCCCCGAGCACTCGCCCTGCGATGAACCCCAACCAAGCAACAGCGAGCTTTTCTTAATCCGTTAATAAGCTAGTGCTTGCCTTTTTTGAATTGCATTTCGGTGTGTGTTTTCTCGTTCAGTCCAAAGACAGGTATCGCAGTCAATCGCTGCCAGCCGGCTACAGCTTCCGTTTTACACCTGCAGTTGGGCAGATTGCTTTGTGTCATGACTCCGGCGTGGTCATATCCGATCGGGCAGTGCATCGTGCTGTATGTTCGTGTGGTAAGCCTCATTTGTCGTTTCAATACGGGCCTGTTCAAATGTTTGCCTCGCAGAATTGTGAAGCAAGTGTTGAAGTCAGCAGCGACGAACCGAGCACCTGGAGTGGAAGAAGTCAGCACACCTGGGCAGACTCAGATGCAGTGGTCGGCTGCTTGGTGGTCACGCTGCCATGCCCAGCATGCGAGCCGCCCCAAGCCCAAGTGCCTCCGGAGAGTCCAGATTTCGACAAGGGGCACAGGGCCATCGTGGTGGCCGTGCCGTGCCAAGCTCCACTAAGACCGAAGGCACGTGGTTTGCAGGTTTGCCTCGCCAAGGGAAATGTGGCTTCGTTTGACCATCTTCTGAAGACCGACGCAGCTGCAGCTTGCAGGGCTTTGCCAAATGGAACAAAGCCTCTCAACTTTGCAATAGATCTGCTGGGCAAAGCAAGGGAATCCAGTCGGTGTTTCTCGACTATGTGCACGATGATTCTGTCCCTGATTGAATGCCAGGCTGATGTAAACGAGAGGGCAGAGCGTGGGGACACGCCCTTACATGTGTTGCTGCGCTTAGACGCGGCTGAGAGGGAGATGGTTCAGCTCTGTAGAACACGCTTGGTGGTTGCAATGCTCAGAGCGAAGGCGGATCCCAATGCATTGGACGAGTCTGGAGACTCCCCGCTGATGGAAGCGGCACACATGGGTGACTTGGAGATGTGCAAGCTGCTGCTGGAGCACGGTGCCAAGGTGATGGCCAAACTCCCTTGGTGTGGACTGGAGGCGGAAGTTTGTGAGCTTTTGGACGAGGCCCTTAGCCGCCAACAAAACGTCCTCTCAAGTCTGATCTCTTCGGGGCTGTCCTTCTTGCGGCAGGATCCCAGCCGCGCGGCTTCGTGTTTTGCTGATGCATTAGCAATGGACCCACTCAACCCTGACATACTCCTTGCTGCAGCAGAGGCTGAGTATGCGGCCGGCAATTTTGCATCTGCTTACCAACACGCCAGCAGAAGCGTAGCGACGAATCCGACGAACGGGATGTCATATGCAGTGTGTGCAAAGGCCTTGTGGCAGCTCGATCGTGTGGAAGAGGCTGTTGCCGTCGCGGAGCTTACTCCCGATTCCGATGGGGTAGGATCGAAGCAGAGGGCCGCACAAGCCAATGCAAGGATCTTGCAGCACACGAAGTGTTTGAGTGCAGTCGAGGAGATTCTTTCAGATAGCTTGGATTCGGATCTTTGCAGGTTTGGCAAGGCCGCCCAAGATCTTGATTCACTGATGCGAGATCTAAATTCACAGGAGCAGCTCTCCTCGTGGGGGGTCCGCGTGACGTTGGCGTTCGTGAGGCTGTGCATTCATTTGTCGCAGCCAGAGAAGACCAGACAGCACTGGACAGCCAGAGCGCTGTCGGAAACAAAGCGACTCAGGTCGTCGACTCAGAATTCTTGGCAGGTTTTGCATTGGCATGCTCGTGCCCTTCTTCAAGCCGGATGCCGTGAAGACGCTATAAATGCACTACGATGCGCGAGCCAGCTTCCAGGTGGCGACGACAGCCTCCTCAAGAACTTGCTCAGGTCAGAAGCCTTGCAGAAGGAGGGAGAGGCGGCTGCAAAACAAAGCTCTTGGGCTCTGGCGCTGGAGTTTTACGAGAGTGCCGAAGCCGGTGCCGCCTTCGACCCCGAGTTCCACGCCCTGCTCCTTGCAGAGAAGGCCCGGGCCAAGCATATGCTCAATCGCAACGACGAGGCTCTAAAAGACGTGTCTGCCGGGCTGAACATCGCTTCCCACTTTGCCAGTCTTTACTTTGTTCGTGGGCTGATTCACATGGAGATGGAGATGTACCCTCAAGCCGCGGCAGACTTTGACCGAGTTGTATCCATCGACCCCGAGGAGATGCCCAGGGAGCTGCACGAGAAAGCCCGCCGTTGGGCCCTGGCACCGCCTGTCCAGGACCACTATGCGGCCTTAGGCCTTTCGAAAACCTCCACGAGCCAAGAGGTCAAGAAGGCCTATCGCCTTGCTGCGCTTCGCTGGCACCCTGACAAGAACGTGGGCAACGAGGCGATGGCCGAGCAGGTCTTCAAGCAGATTCAGGCAGCGTTTGACGTGCTGTCCTGTCAGAGCTCTCGGCAGGCTTACGATAATTATCCTGGCGAGCGCAAGCCCTTTCAGTTTCCTTCGCCTGACGCATCTTGACATGGCAGACACTTTCTGACGACTCCGACCTTCAGAGACGGTGCTGGCAAAGGATACAGGGATACGAACATCAACTACAAGCACGCGTGGGCGACCCTGTCATAACTTCTTCGTTGGGCAAGTCCAGATCTCTCTGCGCTCCTTGGCGCTTCCGTCCCTCCCTGCTGCAGCACTGGCTTTGGAACCGGGGTCCCCGAAAGAAGGCGGTGAAGAGCGTGATTTACAGGTCGAATGGCTGTGACCAGAGGCTTTAAGAAGGCCTGGCTGTGTGGATTCCGAGCGGATTCCGAGCCTTCCCTCTCTTAAAGGGAGTGGGCTCTTTTTCACCCCAGAAGAATCTCCAGAAGGAGAGGAAATCAGGCGATTCGGCAAACGCCGACATCCCCGTCGTGCAAACAGAGAGGAAGAGTTGAAATAACAGAGTTCGACCACGGCTTGTATACACTGACGGTAGCAGACAGCAGTTTCCACCCAATCACTGTCACTTCCTCAGCCCAAGAAGAATGAGGGCCCGAAGTGCCTCAGGCGTCGCCTGGCACAGCTGGAAAAGAAACTGGAGGACGGACTATTGGGCTGGGGTAGGCAACAGGCTGGACAAGGTTTCACCTGATCGTGTTGCCTCCTGACCATGTGATGAGGAATAGGACTTGTCGCATCAAGTTTTCTGCAGTGACGCTCGGAGATGTAGTTGAATTTTTCTCAAGCACAGGCCCAACTGGACGACCGTGCTGACAAGCATGACGGCCGGGTTGGTGCCTCAGCATCCAGAGTCCTGATGCACCTTGGGCGTCTTTAAGTCTTCAAGCCTCCGGAGTCATGGCTGTTGTGGGCTGCGGAGGAACGCTGGGCCGAAGTGCAAGGAAGTGTGAATGGCCTCATTGAGGAGTGCCGTAGTTCCTCAAAGTCTCGTAGCAGGCAGGGCACTTTTCTTCGGCAGGAGACCCAGTCTCTTGCTCGCCGTGTTGATGGCTTGGACGAGCGGCTCTGGGCGCGCACCAGTGGGCGGGGGCCCGGATGACCCCGGGCCGGCCCGTCTTCGGTTTCCGACGGCTCCAAAAGAACGTCCCTAGGTCGGAAGCTTCCAAGCAGCGGAACCGGGAGATTGAGCAGCAGGCGGCGCCATCATTTCTTTTCGTTACCAGCCCTGGCTGGGGTTGTGCTGCCTCAAGCCTGTCAGGTGCAAGCCATGGAGCAGCAAAATCGTCTCGCGGCAGCTGCCGCAGAGGAGTTTCTTCATGATTTTTCGTGTTTCCCATGCTTCGCTTTACAGGGAAAGTTCCGGAGAATCACAAACCCACGAAGCACAAGCTGTCCGGCTACCAACCAGCTTCACGCAACTATTTTGCCCTTCATAGTTCCATGCAGCTTTGGTCGAATCTATGTGTTGAGCACCTAAGCCAGAAGGCCTCAGTTCTCATGAATGTGAATGTGAGGGATACGGGTGCCTGATAAGGCTGCTTCGCTTGGCCTTGGTGGTTGTTGCAGCATTCCCCTAGAGACAATGCCTGTCAAACGATGATCAACCATGTATGGAGTACAGAGTCTCGGCACCTTCTTACTAGTGCCCTTGTCACTTGTTCTGTGAAACTCTCGGATGTTGTGTGAGGTTTGTGCCAGGAAAGGCCCGTGTTCCCTTCCCGCGCCCTGCCTCAGTGCACCAAACACAATCTACACAAGACGTTCATCCTTCTTTCTATTCAAGGAAAGGTGCTGTTCAGACCAAATTCAGATACCACATGGAAACGAGCCGGAAACGTGTTGCAACGCTCAAACGGCGAGTTTGTAGGTGCCCAGTATGAACCCTAATCGCTCACACCGCTCAGCGGGTCTCTGCGGCTTGCCGCTCTCATTGCGAATGTGTCTTTGCCTTGCTTTTCTTCATGCTTTCTGCGCTGCTGTGCACATTTATCCTTATTTTGTTCTCCCCCCCCGCCCTGCTTACCCGTTTTCGTATCTGTTCGGCCTGTCGCATACCTATGTCAGGTTCCCGACTCGATCTCATCCTCAGCCCGGATGCTTGGTTTGCCTTCTCGCGACATGTATGGTGCGCTGCCTGCAGGAGACACAGAAGCGACAGGTGCGCACTTCCCCCAGGCCTTGCGATCTGAGTTTTCTGCTGCCGATGTGCAGGCCACAAAGATTCGTCGTGCTGAACACTCGCTTGAAGAGGTCTTCTTACTTGTGGCTTGCGGTGCTTTAAGTGAAGCGGGTTCTGTTGCTAGGTTTTGCGACGTATGGCCGCGATGGAGGACGAGGCAGCGAGGGAGGGGAGAAGGAAAGAGCGTGCCAACGCGTGTCTCGGCATGCCCTGCAAGAGCAAGAAGAACAGACGACAGCAAGAACACAAGTCACATCCCAGAGAGACAAACAAAGTTCGTTCCACAAAACAAGAGCCATGGGATCTCTGTAGCTTAGGCTTCAACTGGCAGGTACGACAGAAGAATGCCACCCAAAGAGATGGCTACATGGAGGACTTCTGTCAGCGTTGCTCCCAATGCTTCATCAGCAAAAACCCCTGAAATCGTGCGCAGGCCAGGGTCAACAGTTTGGAGCAGACACAGGTCCGGTCCCCCTTGAGACATACGGTAGTTTCAGTTTGCTGGCATTACTGGGACGGGGCTCCAGCGGCTCGCAAACTCGAGGAAGCCTTGGATGCAGACCTCCGTGCTTTGCAGGCTGCTGCTGTGAAAGAGAGTCAGGGGAGAGAAAGACGTGCGTTTTTCTCCGAAGCGGTGCTGAGGCCAGCCTCGAAGATGGGATGCGCGATGCCAATCAGGCCAGGCCTTGGCAATCGTTCGATTATCCTAGATGCCATTTGCTCCCTCGTCCTAGGAAAGCGCTGACCTGCAAGGGGCAGATGTCTTCGAGGCGGTCGCAGAGCAGAGACTCACTGAGCTTCAGGGCCAACGCCATCGTGTCAGGTAGTCCGCAAGTCGGAGATGGGCCTTTCTGCACTGGACCGGAAGGCGGCCCCAAAGGGACGAAAGTTTCTTAAAAGGAGGCAGGGTCCTTGCGCTGAGAGAGAGAGCGACAGGTGAGCAACCAAGTGGAGGAGCACTTTGGGGGGGGTGGGGAAAAGGGAGGGAAGGTTGAGCCGCTCCGCTGTAGGACCTTTCCTCTTCTGTTGCGAGTCTCCGTGTGAAAGTGGATGGCCTGCTGAGTCGAGCAGATCCCCTACTCGTGCCGTCGGGAATGCTGCTAGTACTGTCCTGACTCTACAGTCTACCTTCCAGTGATTGTTCGAGGTTGGAGGCTTGGCGGAGCGAATCGAGACGGCCCATGAGCTACAAACTAAGAGAAGCCATTCTGTGCTGAAATCATCGCGCCGCTCGCGCAGTCCTTATGAAGACCTTCAGGCCCGCGGTCGAGTCGCTTCGTTTGGAGCTCTCGCAGGCGTGAGTTCGTGGTTGCTTGTTCTTGTTCTGCCGGTTGCCAGTTTAGTCCACGCTGACGTCGGTTTCTCACCAGGCCCGACAACAGGAGCGGCGTGAGCTCGACACAGAGCTGCAAACCTTCAAAAACCGGTTGCAACAGGCCAGGCACATGATTCTTGGAAACTGTGTCTGGAGGGAGTGCGACTAGATCAAGAGCCTGAAAGGCGCAAGACTCCAACGAGGAGGCATGTGGAGAGCTCCGTGAGGCTCCATCAGATGTTGAGAGCCATGGGCGTGTGATTCAAGTCAGCGCCGTGAAGCAGGGCACTGCCTTGCACGTAGCGCGGTGTTCCGCAAGAGAGCAGCATCATGCTGAGTACTGCCGAGAGAAAGAACACTGAATCGTTGCTTCTTATTTCGAGTTGCGACAGCCCGCGACGCGTTCTCGAAAGGCGCTTCGCCAGAGCCGTTCGGAGGTCGCGGCGTTGAGCTACCGGCCAGACATCCAACAGGACTGCCTAAGACAACTAGGTCCTAGGTGCAGTCAATACTTCGGGCGACTACATGTCCAAAGGTGAAGAGCTGATTTTCGCTTGCGATTGCGGCAGCTATTGGTTGGCGAAAGCATGTGTACCTGCCGAGTCAAGTTGCCGAAGTTCTCATGCTGCAGTAGTGCCATGTTGGCCCGGCTATGCCCCAGGACAACTCATGGATGCGCACCACGGAGGAAAGGCTGGCAGGGCATGAGCAGGACCTCGAGCCTCGAACTGGAGCAAGAGCTTGGCAGACGGACCGAGCGTTGCCAGGACTTGTTTGACCTGCGGGAGCGCTTGGAGCTGGTGCAGGTGCGGCATCTGCCAAGGGATGGGCAGATGGCGCGGCCATGGAGCGGTCAGGCAGATGGGACGGTGGACGGCAAGACCATGCTGATGAAACCGGCGGAGGACGCATGTGCCGTGATGCCTTCACCGGATTTGGCAGAACTGTAAGACGGCAGGACATAGATGACTTGCGCCGACGCCTGGAGTGGTTGGAGGTGGGTTCGCGGTCTCCGGTGTTTTCGATTGAGCACGTGCACTTCCCAGGAGCATGGCTCTGCTGCCAGTGTCTCGGAGGGTCGCAAGCAGCTTCGCGGCTTCGACGGCGAGCCCTCCTTTTGCCGTTTTCCGGAAGGCAGCAGACAAGGCAGACTCCAGCAGAATCTCACAGGCCTGTTACCACATGTAGCGAGTTGTAGTGCTGTGGTGGGCGCGGCTGCCTGTCCGTGCCTCTGTGAGGTCCAGAACAGTCTCTGCGACCTCGTGGAACAGGTTTCCAGGCTCAAGCAACAGGCACACGCTCAAAGATGCCACGTTGCAGCGTCGGCTCTCGTCGCTTCATTCGAGAGTATCGAGAGTTGCAGGCAGCTTCTTCAGAAGCAAATGCCAACTCCTGGCAGCAACAGGCTTGGCACGTGTGGATGGCCTTCGACCTCGGATAGAATTAACCGTCTTGCTCACGGAAGGTGAAACAAATACATAGCCGGGGCCCAAGCGTGAGGACTGGTGGTCTCACCGGCATTATCCGCATCGCTGCTCGGGATTTGCATAGTCTGTTGTGTCGTGTCGTTGAAGGTCTCATCGAAAGAAGACAGAGCGAGGAATCAGCGTCCATGCGTGTCACCAACGAGGCACAAGAATCGGTTAAGGTTTCTCTCATGTAGCTACTAGCGTCAGGCGACAATTTCCTTGCAACTCCCGCCCTCGTCTTGTTCCTGTACCGTCAGGTGGAGGCCAAGGTTGGTGCGTTGTCTGCGCAAGTCGCCGACATGGCAGCAAGGATGTTGGAGGCAGTGCAGACCAGTGGAATGACCGACGACCATTTTTTCGGCACAATTTGTGGCAGGTTGAGGGCAGCTTGGATTTCGTTCGCGAGAGCGATCTCACAGCCGGAGAGGCCAAAGCATCACTTCTTGCTGGCTTCAATCGCTATGTCCTGAGGGGTGCTAGGACCACTGAAACATGTCAGACTGTGGGAGGTCAGCGCGCCTGAGCGCACGGCCCCGGAGAGTGAGGCCGGAGCCCAAAGAGAAAAGGGCAGCTCTGCTGCAGCAGGCGCCGTGCTTCCTTCTGCCTTGGTGGAGCCAGGCGCCCGCCCAACCCAGCGCGCTTCAGGCGCTGCGGGGTTTCTGACGTTGCAAAACCGTCTACGAGATGCATCTCGCCGCATGCGGGAGGAAAAGCTGGAAGCCGTTGCCGAGCACTTGGAGGTGGACTGGCCATGGTCCTTCGTGATGCGGTCATAGCTCTTCGTGTCTTGTCGCAGGTGGTCGATGATCTGTCGGATCGCCTTGCGGAGCTTGAACGTCGCATGAGCACAGGCCAGGGTCCATGTCAGGTCCAGGTCTCGAGAAGAGTCGACTCTGTGTAGCCGGGTGATGCCTGGTGCAAGGTCAGGACTTTCATCCCTTGGGAAGCTCATCGCCTGGACCAGTGTCCGAGGCGCAGCGGCGCGTCCCAACAGAAACAATCGGGGTTAGGCACGGTTATTGCCCTTTGGCCTCCGAGCCAGGTGAGCTTCGGAGGCGAGGCGCCTTTGAAGGCCTTGCCGGGTCCGAGTTGAAAGAATCTCTTCCAGCTCGAGCCCTGCGTCCGGCGGCCGAAGTCGAGAGGTTCCCTCTGCTCCAGATGTTGCTGCCAGCCAGTCTCGACCTTGTCTCAACATGCATCCCGAAAGCTTCCTAATACTCGTAGCTCTTCCAGGCTGGGTGAACTTCAGCTTCGAATGGACGCGATGGATCTGAAGATGAAGTCTGTCCAGGAGGCTGCAGGCAGCAGCATCGCTGTTTCGCAAGCTTGGCTGCTCTTTGGGGAGGCCACTGCAACGAAGCACAGCAAGCCTGACGGGAAGGTGCATCAATCTACATCGTTGTGAGTTTGCAGTGTGTACTGTATTTTATTTTAGAGAAACTGGGTAGTGGCAAGGCAAGGTGACTTGCAAGCAGGGTTGACGGCACCTGAGGTGGAAGCGGACCTTCAAGCACTGAGAAACGAGTTCGGGTGCCCGGAAGCTTTTCCGTCGACGCCCCTCCTCTCTCTTCGTCTCTTTTTGGGCGCAGCCGCCCCGCTGAGGCTCGGGAGTCTGACCTCCCGGCTGGGTGCAGCCGAGCTGGAGTTGAGCTCTGCCACGGAGGAGCGCGCTGCATGCGTAGCTGAGGTCTGTGTGTGAGAAAGGTGCCTATATCCATATCCTATCCCTGTTTGCAGGAGCTGGCAAAGAAGGCAGAGGCCTGTGAGGCTTCGCCCGCTCCGGAGTTGGCAGCCCTGCGTTCAGAGCCTCGGCACGACTTCTCGGGCTTCCCTTTCTCTGCTTGCACACTTGGTGTTTGGTTTCCTGGTGCTCTGAAAGGAGCTGCTGGAGAAGGTCAAAGAGTTCAACGCCGGCCAGGACACTGGCAGCCGGCAGCCTTTGCGTGAGCCCAGAGTCCTCTCTGAACATCCACAGGACCAGTCCAAACGCTCGGCCGCCACGGCAGCTGCAGAGGTCAAGGAGGCACAACACATCACAACACCAGGAGAAGCCTTTGCCCTACATTCCTAAACGTCCCGGAGACTGTACGACGCCAGTTTTTTGGAGGAGCCCCCGATAAACACAGAAAGCTCCGACACAGCTTTTCTGGCAGGTCCGGGATGACGTCGTCCTTCTGTCTGAGAAGGCAGCCTTTCCTCGTATGTCGAGAAGGGGACGACCCACATGTATCATCATTTATCCCTAAACCGCCGAAACCCCGACCCGGACTGAATCTTGAAGCCCTGAGCCTGAGCCAAGAGGAGAGGGGAGGAGACTGCCTTGGCTCAGGTCGATGCCACGCTCGAGGACCTCCAAGAAGGGCTCACGGCCGCGAAGCAAGCCGTGGAGGCGGCAGCAAAAGCACGGCCATGATGATGCTGATCATGATACAGTTTTATGGTGGTAGGACTACATCTTGTGGGGTTCCGGTGCTTGTGTTGCACTGTTACACAAGAAGCCACCAGCTCTGTCGATGGCCAGGCAGCGATGGCACCCATCAAGCAGGAGCTGAAGGAACTGTCGAACGCCCAGAGGCGTCTCAGAGAGACTTCGCGGCTCCGACGCGATCTTCCAGGCGAAGCCGGCTGCCAGATTCGGCTGCAGAGGAGAGCGCGGAGCAGGCATTGCTTGAGAAGCTGGAGGAGGCGGTTTTGTGTCATGTTGCGACGACCCGCGTGTGCCCTCCTGATGTCTTAGTCTTAGCATCTGGAGATCGAGCGCAAGATGAAAGAGCTGCAGACTTCACAGACTTCGACCTCGAAGGCATCTCTAACACTGCCACAACCTCGAGCTCATCATGGCTTGGGCTTTCTGCTTGTGTCAGGCTCCTGCGAAGGATGGCTTGGAGGCGACTTCGTGGAAAAGCCTTCGGGATCTGTTCTGCATTGAAAAACTCTCCCAGGAGAAGCTCTCGCAGCTGGAGACGGCCTTTGCCAGGACTCATGACCTGGGTCACCTTGGTCCTCGCTTGGCATTTGCCTTTCCGCCAGTCTCGAGGGCCCTCGTAAAAATGCGCTGCAGGATTGAAGAGGCCAAGCCGGCGAGCATCGATGACACCGTCATCGTGGCTTGCCAGCAAAGTTTACAGCTCGATGTTCTGTTTTCATTATTGTTGGCCTCTACTTGCAGGAAAACCGTGTCTATCCGTGTCTAGTCTGAAAGTCTGATGGTGTAGTGTCCGTAATGGGAAAGGGCCTTTCAGTGGCTGGTGGACTGCATTGCCTTGACAACAGAGGGCCCTCGAACAGCGTCCCCAAAACAGCTCCGCACCGATACACCGCTGCACCCTTGAGCGCGAGTGCGGCGTGTCGGCGTATCGGCGTATTTCTTCCCTGCCTTGTCTGGATCGGCATTTCCCATCCGCACGACCGCTGCGGGCCTCTAACGGCGTAAGCCTGCTCCGATACACCGAACACCGGTCCTTGCACCCGTCAGCGCGAGTGCGACCTGTCGGCATGTCGATGTATATTTCCCTTGTGGATCGGCATATCGGCATATGGGCGTATCCGCACGCCCGCTGTGGGCTTCTAATGGGCTAAGTCGGTTCCGATGCACCGATACACCGGTACACCGCTCCGGGTCTTTAACGGCGTCAGCCCGCATCGATACACCGATACACCGTTAACACCGATCGTGCACCGATACACCGTTGCACCCCTGAGCGCGAGTGCGGCGTGTCGGCGTATTTCTTTTATGGATCGGCAAAACGGCGTATCGGCATATTTCCCTTCCGGATCGGCACATCGTCGTATTTCCCATCCGCACGCCCTCTGCGGACCTCTGACAGCATCAGCCCGCTCCGATACACCGATCCTTGCACCCGTCAGCACGAGTGCGGCGTGTCGGCGTATCGGCATATTTCCCTTCCGGATCGGCCCCTGCCATTCCCTCGGCCACCCCCCCTCCCCTCCACCCCCCAGACGCTGTCAAATATGTGTAAGCTTCGGCCATCAATCAACAGGAGCATCCAGGAAAACCTTCAACCCTAAACCCATGCCGTGAAACATCCCGATCGTATTTCCCTTCCGCATCGGCGTATTTCCGGATCGGCTTAGTGGCGCATTGCCCTTCCGTGGGCCCATCGGCGTAGCGGCGTGTTTCCCTTCGCACGCCCGCGACCGGCATATCGGCGCATCGGCGCAAGGCGATTTAAGGACACCAATTGCAGGCACGCTGATCCAACGGCCATGCTGAACGAAAGTCACATCGGATAGCCCTCCGTCCGCGCTTCAATCGGTACCGCGTGCTCCGTTGTAGACCTCGTCTAGAGTATTCTAGAGTCTATATAGTTGAGAACGGGAGGCGAGCTTCACCTCCCATCAGGAAACTGCTCATCGAGCTGTCAGCGGAGATTTCTCCTTCATCCTGTGTGTCGGTGCAGATCAGGTTTCGATAATGCAGCAGAAACTCCAGGACCATTTCCTCCATGCCGGCCTTTCAAGGAATTCCGACAAGGTAATTGCGATTTCTTGTTCGATACTTAGTGTTGAATATGTCAGTGTACGGCATCCCGCTGCCTCTTACGCGGCAATCGGTGACACCATGTGACACCTCTGCAGTTGTTCATGACGGATGTGGTTTTTCCCTGCCATCGGGCCCCCTTGGCAGAACAATGATGATGCTAATCCACCAAGGAAGCGACATCACCATGTGAGTGGTACGTGAGTTATGAACCCCGGAAGCGAGGCTCCCGCCAATTCATTCGGCTGGTTACGGTTGCAGGTGCAAGACCCAAAGAGCTATAGCAGCCACGACCCAAATATGTATAGTGCCGCCTGCTAACAAAATCTAAGCATGCCTAGCTCTAAAGAGCCTTTAACTTAGCGTTTGGTGTTGGTGTTTCTGCTTCTGAGGGATTGTGGGACTGTGTGCTAGGGCTTAGGCTCGGCCCTTCAAATCATGATTGAAGGTGTCGGGGTAACAGTCATGACTACATCAGGACCGAACTGAGAATGCCCAGTCGTTGTGCACGGCAGTCCATGCAGCGAACCTGCTGAGGTCGATCGCCTGGATGCCTTGGACAAGCGCATGGACGAGGACCTGTGAGGGTCGAGCCCGAGCCCAGCGTTTCCCTGAAGTCTTCCTGGCCTCAGGACCTCCAGCGGAGCGTGGCAGCGCTCGAGAAGCTGCTTGGAGAGGAAGGGCAGTTATCTGTTCTCAAGTAGTTTAGAGGTAAAGCACGCATCCTCTCCGTCTGTGACTTGGTCTGCAGGAGATTGAGGCTATCAAGACGACTCTGAAAGAGCAGGCCAGAAGGGCAGTGTCAAGCAATGAGCGCGCGACGCGGAAGTGTCTGCAGGTTGCAGCCCTCAGCAAGCGCTTGGAGGTTGCCGCCGTGCTTGTCTCAGATGTCCGCTGTACCTCAAGTTGATTGCCTAGCAGAGCTCTTCCACACCGACAGTAAAGTTAAACCTTGCACAGAAAATCCCCGCTCCAGTGAGCTGCACACCGGTCCCTCACGTCGACTGATGTAGTAGCAGCTGCTCTGTTTCCCGTGCCAGAATCGCAGTATGTCTTCCTTTCTGGTTTGGGTGGCTTTCGTCGTAGAAAGCAGCAAAACTAGTCAGCATGTGTTCGCTCTTGAGATGTTGAGAGCGTGTTGCCCCTGGCCGGAAGAGAAATTGGGTCTACCTGCGCGAGCTGTTGAAGCATGCGTTGCCCATGGAACATGTGCAGCATCACCTTCCTTCAACAAGGATTTCTCTTTCGATCCATTTCTCCGGCTACTTCTATCTCACGTGATGCCTTTCACGCTCGTCCTGTTGTCAGCTTTGCGTTCTCGCTGTGTTGAGTACTGGTGGACATGCGAGGCATCGCTTCGTTCAATGCAGGAAGACTCGACAAAGCAGGCCGCGAGCATGTTTGGGGTGGCACACGTCCATGTAGACATCGTGAAAGGAGCAAGAGCAGCTGACCCAGCTCTTGCCTCAGAGTGGACCATTGAAAAAGAGGCCTTGAGCTCTCAGTGCTGTTGCCTCCCGGCGATCCGAGGATGGAGGAACTTCAGCGGCAGCTCCTCGAGGTTCGCGATATCAGGGTATTTGGGGGCCTCTGAAGTCGGTATGCAGAGTAGGCTGTGAGGCCTAGGCTAGGAGAGACCAGTGCGAAGCGACGTGCCAGCTACCGGAAACCTGCGTGGCCACGGTGGACTTCGTGGAGTCGCTGCCTCGGAAGAGAGTCCAGAGGGCAAGACAAGGGCAAGACCTCAATGAGCCTGAAGTGAATCCGTGAAACTCCGATCCTGGTGCAAAGACATCCGGATCGCATCCTCTGCCTGCAGGTTAAAGGAGCAAGTCAAGCAGGTGGAGCTGAAGGTCTCAACAGGCGCGCCCCATGCGCCCCTGAAAAGAGAAGGCTTGAAGACATCATCGGAATTTTGCAGGGCTTGGCGCGAGTTTCGTGCCCAGTGGCGGAGGAGACGCCTCCGAGGCGCCGTGCCCTGCAGTGCTGCGTGTTGTCTTGTGCAGGCGCAAGTTTGGGTCGGAAGACTTGTCCGACTCATGCGTGTGATCGAAAGATACCCAGGACGTGAAGCTCCGAGCACAAGTGCAACAACAGGCGGTTCATGAGTGACCCGAGCTCGTGCATTGTGTACTAAGCACAGCGATGCTGAACCAAGCAAAGCCCTTGTAGCCCAGTGCCAAGCGTCCATTTGCAGGTGCAGGAGCTCGCCGGGCAATTGTCCGCCGAAGTTGCAAAGCTGGTCAGCCGCTTAGCCTCGCGCGTTCTGTGAGATGTGAGTGATGTGAGTGCTGGAGAGCACACAGAGGCTCCGTGGTGTCAGTTGAACGTCAGAGTCCGAGCACACATCAGGCTCAGCACCACAAGGAGATTGCGGACACCAAGACCACCGTAGAGGATCCTGTGGCGATGCCTGCAAATTCCCACACAACAGCAGCGAGTTGAGACGAGTTGCCAACATCCAGCCTAGCCCGGCAAAGCCTCTCCAATGAGGTACTAAAGAAAAGAGAAGCAGAGGGGCCGAGCCTGCAGGACTTGGCGACGCAGCTCAAGGCACAGCCGGCCCAAACAGAGCTGCCCGAAGCGGGTCACTCGGAGGAGTGGCATAGAGCGCCTCCCTCTTTGAAGCATCGGATCGGCTTGGGATCGGGAGGAGCTTGCTAAGCTGCGCAACGACTTCGGCGAGCTGGAGAGCGCCTCAAATTACCGGCACGGCCTAAGGGCCCGGTCTAGTAATCTGGGCAACCTCTTTGCGAAGGCTGACCGCCTGGCTTCGACCGAGACCCTCTCTTCAGCGACCAAGAAGGAGCGGTTTGCACCCAGATGCCAGTTGCCTCCGGCAGCCCGTGATGCTTGTAGCAAGGGATCCGCCTTGTGAAGCACCCCCATATCTTCGAGCACTGTAGCTGAGCAATTCCAAGCTCATCTGCCGTCTCTATCCTTCTCTGGCATCCACGGCTTCCGCAGTCCCTTCCCCGGCCAGGATCTAGAAGCGCTCCTGGGCCCACGCAACAAGATCGGAATCAGCTTCGTCCTCGGTCTCGGCGTGTCGGTGTGTGCACAAATGGGCGGGGAGTTTGCTGGCAAGCCCTGCCTGTTTCGATCTTGACAGGCATGGGCGCGGGCAACGACTCACCGTTGGCGGAGGCAAAGTTCCTGCGTCCGAACTCCAACCTCGTTCCTCCAGTGACCAGCGAAGGTACGTGGCCGGCTCGACCTGTTGTCTGAGCAGGTGGGGCGAATTTGCCACTTCCTTCCCCAGTTGTGCGCTTTGTTTGCTCCCGAGGTAGCAGAGCTGCAAAGCAGGCGCGTCATTGACAGTGGTCTTGAGAGGTGAGCCGAGGGGTACTTGAGCACGATGGCTTTCATAGCAGGCATGAGGAGAGCCACGCCGGAAGCGTCACCTGCACAGTTCACAGTCGTTTGTTGATCTTGGCAGTTGGGACTGCTTCTGAGGCCAGCCTGAAAGGAGCTCGCAAAGACTCTGTGGACGCTCAGCTGAGAAAGTGGTGTAGGCAACGTACCGCTACTCCCCAAGCCTGCATGTTCGTACCCTCCTTGCTGCCGACAGCAGAGGCCAGCGCCGATGGCAGCCTGGTGCTCGAGGGGGCGCCGTGACTTGAGCTCTGAGCGGGATTCGATTTTTGCTCCTAGGCCTCAACTTCTCTCTGACGGAGCAGACGGAGCGACCAGGCCCAGACATGCAGATCAAGCAGCGCAGTCACAGCAAGCTTCGATAGGTGCACCAGGCGACAGCTTGAACTTCTCGCTGACCGAGCAAACGGCCAAGGCCCGGTTGCGAAGGAAGAAAGGTAGCGGCTATTCTAGCGGTTCCCTTTCGCACGCTGGGATCCTCCATGGGCCCCATCGGCGGAGGGAGACTTCTCTTCTTCGGAGCCCTTCGGCAAGAGACCAGCCGGCCGCGGACCCGGACCTGGCCCCCGAAAAGGGGCCCCGCAAAGAAGCGCTTCAGAGCGAATCTTTCCTGCGAGTTCGGTTCTTGCGGAAGGGCCCTCTTCCCTTGCGAGGCATCAGCCTGGAGGTTGCCGAGGAGGCTGCAAAGACCTGTCTTGAAGAAATGGGTGTACCACGCTCTGGACCCTAAACCCCGGTCATGCTGATGCCCGCGATTTAAACTCGATTTCTTCGGACGAATAGCTCTTGTGTGCCATTTCTTCATGTACACCCACTCTGCCCCTTCCCCCCTCCACGTTCAGGACTCTGATTTGGATGAAATCTTGTCCGCGACAGACTCGCCCGTCGGAGCCGGGGCCCCGCGAGTCTCGTCTCGGAGTCAAGCTTCTCTTCTCTTTCTGCTCAAAAGCCTCAGCCTTTTGCCGACCTCTGCTTTCAGGTTCCGGGTCAACTTGCAGGCCCCTCCTCGGAAGCGTTTTTTTTTTTATATTGGTTTTGCATGGTTTTGTCTTGCCCATGGCCGAAGCTGCTGCAGGCTTGGCGGAGATAGCAGGTCCTGCGAAGGAGAGAGCTGCTTGCACCTGGGAAGGTGAGCACCGGAACACCTGGAATCTGTTGTTTCGCTGGACGGCTCAGGGGACTGTTTGCCATCCAAAGCATGCGATCCCTTGCATGGACTAGTCAACTAGTCCCCATTCACACAAGCATCAGCGACCTGACAGCCGTAGTCTTCGGAACCTCGTCGATCTGGGCTCCGTGCGGTTGCGCCGTCGAGCCGTTTATGCATGGCCTTTGCAATGAGGGAAGCCGAGGCGTGGATGAGCTGTGAAGATGCCCGTGAAGCGAAGAGAACGTAGGACCCCGTCAACCTTTGTCAACCTTGTCTCGGTGGCAGGATGACGTCTTCCGCCACCAGCAGGCACTGCAAGTTTGCTGCCTGCTCAAGCAAGCCCCTGGCCAGAAATGTGTGTAGGCTGCACAACCGCCAAAGGCAAGAAAAGAACACCAAGCCTCGACGGCTAGGAGCTTTCCACTCTAGCACCTTCGCAGCTTGCGAGGCGTGCATTAAGAATACCTTCCTCGAGTTTTTCGAAGAGACAGAGAGGGATGAGGAGGCCAGCAAGCCGTGTGAATCCCTAGGTAGCGCCATGGCATCTTGCACAAATCTCACGCGAGGATCCGTGGGTCATCCAGCCAGATCCTCGACGCTGGCTGACAGACAGCGCTGCAACTTGCCCAAAGTCTCCATCTCAGGGGGGGGGGTTCGGTCTTTGAGGCATGGTCAGGTTGCAGAAAGGACTAAGTGGTGTTGTCTTCGGGCTAGTGGCTACAAGTCTCAGGTCCCGTGCGCCTCCTCCCATGGTTGCAGCTGCCCGAGCATGGAGCGAATGGAGCGAGTCTTCACATCTGCCTGGAGCCGGAAGTCGTTGAGGCTGCCTTGGAGGCTGGATCGCCATCATTCCTTCTGAGAGCACATCCAAAGCCAGGTGCCGTTGAGCCTATTTCTTAATGCAGACTTCGCCTTCGTTGGTTGAGGGGCGTTGGCAGTTGGGAAGCAGAAGAGTGCAGGCAGTGACAGAAGTTGGGACGGCTACAGTTCCGTCGAGACCTACACAGGCCCATGCCGTCACTTTGTGCAACTGGAGTCGCACAAAAGCGCGATGCAGTACTTGCCTGCTCCGCTCGTGCAGGTTCTGCCGCAGGCTCTGCCCAGGGATCGGGCCCGCGCGGTCAAATGACGCCCGAGGCGCACCATTTGCTGTCTCTGAGAGAAGCCGAAACGACAAAGCATCCTTGTTTGGATTGTGCCTCATCCGCAGTCTGCTTGCTTCAGGCTCGTTTGGTTTCAAGTGGCCCGAGCGATGATTTCTCATACCAAGGCACGGTCGCCCAAACTCCTCAGTCTCAGTCTTTTTTGTTTCCTTGCGTTTCTGCACTCCCTCTCTCTCTCTCTACCTCTCCCTCCCCGAGTTGTCGGAATCGGATGAATTTCGGTTTCAATTCCTGGGGAAGGCTCTTGTGTCAATGTCCCTGAATGACGCTTGAACTCTGAGCAGCATTCAAGAAGGCCGCAGAGAGCTTCAGCGGATTTTCGAACGCTCTTCGCTTGTTGTTTCCTGACATGTTGTAAAAGACTAGATCATTCCCGGTTATCCCACTCAATCCTCAAAGCAGTGAACATGTGTTGCTTATCGAGCATCCTGGGCAGGTATGTTGCTTTGGCCAGAGGCTCGTGAATCGCGTGTACTTCGTCTTGGTTTGTCAGGGAGTCCGACATTTTCCAGGGGTCCCTTGTGTGCGCAGGATCCTCATGCCGTGGGTGCAGCACACCCATACAACCATGCCACAGCCTGCCCAGGCACAAGATGTCCAGAAGTGGGTCTGTATGATGTGAGTTGATTGTAATTCCTTGCCAGGCTCTGCCGCAGAGGCTTCCTTCCGCATTCTTCTATCACGGCCCCGTCTATTTTGGTCTCGGCGAGGTCTTCGGGCATTTTGCCTCTGATGCCTTGGGCGAGACTTATTCAGGCGAGCCGCTCTGGGACTGGTGGTCTTTACGATGCCAATGTGACTCCCGATGGAAGAAGTCTGTCTGCCAGGTTCCTATGCTTTCAGTGCCTATGATTGGAGCACAGTGGCACACGAGGCAACCTGAGCTGAAGCATGGGATGATTTGTATTGTATATCTATCTATATATACATCCGGATTTTAGATATATGTAGATGTAACAATGTAAAAGTGCATTTGCAGACATACATGTACAACCATGTATAGTGTCTGTAGGTGTGCATACATAGTATAGAGTACTGTAGTCTAGATGTACACATGCACGTGCGCGTGTGCAGCGCTGTCTCTCACCCTCCCGGTAGTGGCTTTGCAGTGTCACCGTCCTTTCATGTCAGGTCTCGACTGTGGCACAGTCCTGCTAGCTGTAGTTGCGGATATTGGCTTCCTAAAGGGGCCAAAGATTCTTAAAAGCTCCGAGCCTTTCCCAGGATGTGGAGTCGCAGGTGGAGGCTAAGAAGCCCGTTGATCCGGAGGCCAGGGCCAACGTCTCTTTCGCCGCCAGCCCCCCATTCCTGCTTTCACTTCAGTCTTCAAGAGTACAGAAGCATACAGAAGCTCGTTACCCACCACAACTGCCCCAAGCGATCGAAGTGGTTCTGAGCAGCACTTCAACTCCTCCTCGCTGGGATGAAGCATGTACCGCACAAGACAATCACAGTGCTTGCAGAAAGGCAGCCTCGAGTCGCCCACTGTCGTTTCGTTTCGCCTTCCCAACGAATCGGATCAACGCTGAAGTTGTCAAAACGTGGAGATCGCGCAGAGGAATTCCCCCTTCCCCTGGCCGCAAATACCACCTCCTTGCTCGCATCTGCAAGCTCAACATGGCGCAATCGGAACGCACCTCTGCGAGTAGTGAGCGGCGCTGTGCGTTCAATGCATCGGTTGGAGCCCTGCTTGCAGATCCTCCGCGCCAGAGAGGCTCGGGATGGCTTCATTCTTTTTCGCTTCACCTTTGTGTGAAGCTCGAAGGTTGCATTGGCTGGCAATGGATTAAGCGGGCTGACAACAGCCATGGTGCACCCGACTGGTCCTTTCGCATGCCGTCATTGCAGCTCTTCTGAACGTTTTTGCCAGATTCGGAATGTGCCGAGCAAGTACACGCAGCAAAAGCTGATGAGCGTCTCGGTCAAATATGTGCCTTTGTACCTCTAAGATATGTAGCCCTATGCCGTGGACATGTGGAGTGCTCTGCATCTCTCTGCAATGCAGAGAAGTTTGCAAGCGGCGGGTAGCATGTCTTCCTCAGCCAACGCCGAGGGGAAATCAATGACATGGGCTTCTTGGGCCAGACTCTCAGGCTGAGAGCCTCTAATTGCGGTTGTTTTTGAGCACCTCGGTGCAGGCAAATTCGACTTCTTCTACCTTCCGATGCAGCCGCACGGCCCGGGGAGTGTGCTGCGCAAGCACGGTTTGTGCAGCGCAGTGGACGCGCTTCTTGCAGGCAGAGGAAACCGTGGCTTCGCCTTTATCAACTTTATGGCATGGGAGGCCAAGGGTTTGTGCTAGTTTCTTTTTGTTTCTTCCTCTGATTATTGTTTGGCGGCACCTGTGCGGCACCTGTGCACGTACTTTTCAAAGGGCATAAAGGCATGTAACGTAAAGGCTGGGCCACTGCAACATCTTCCTCTGCCCAAGTTTATTTGCACGCTGCCCCGCCCTGTAGCGTTCTCATTCTCCGGTGAAGAGACACTTTGTTTTTTTGGACCGCTTACCATGGGGGCCAGAGGAGGGCATGGAGAGGCCCTGCACATCAAACATGGTCGGTGCAGGGTCCCGAGAGGCCGTCACAGGGTGGCCGGCAAGGGTAGCCTGAAAGGGCGAATCGAGTGGATGGTGGTCGGACCCAGCAACAGACGAGCACGTAAACATGCGTAGTCCCGGTGCACTCATCCACCAAAACCCACCACGCAGCACGTGCTCTCCTGCGGTTTTTGCCAGGTCGCCCAAGAGTTCTACCTTAGACTGCATGGCCGACCGTTCGAGCCCAAGTGTCGGCTCCCGTATGCATGAGCAGTCGGAAGGCACAGAACAGGGGAGAGAAGAGCATTCTTCTGTCTCTTTAGTTTTGTGCGATGTTGTACGGGAGGGGTGCGTGCTGGACTTTGCTGAAAGATGCAATGGGATTCTCGCAAGCGGCCAGAAGCCCTCGAGCCCCGCGGGCCACGGACTCCGACACCATTCCGCCGACTACCAATCGCTTCCGTTCAGACTCAGAGGGGCGGTTGCACCTGATGCCACGACTCGAAAGACAGGAAGTGGAGGAGACATGATTGGAAAGAGGTGTCAGAACGTCGCTGCGGTTGGTCTGCAGCTGCGAACGTGCTATGCAGGGTCTTGGGAAAAGCCATCCAAGGCTGCGGCTGTCAGCTCCGGAGACTCCAGCATCCATCATGTTGAGGGCTCAGGTGGAGCCGCCCGGCGGTTTTTTTTGTCACAGCTGCATCCGAGGCCGGCAGACTTGCAGGGTTTTGATCGCAACGACCCGGGCTCAGCTTCAAAGACGCGGGCCCTTTTGCACTGGGGTTCAGCGGTTCAGAGGACATGAAATGACGAGGCTGAGCATTATGCTAACATGCGGCTCAGTCGCAGCAGCAGGCAGCGTCTATTCAGGTAAATTGATGACTTTTTCATGGATAGGTTTTTTTGTGTTCGGAGTGGTGGCACTGTCTTAGGGTGCCATGCTCACGCATGCCAGGCGTCCGCTACAGTGCGGCCGGGCACTCTTTTTCCGTCCCCTGCCGGAGCACATCCACAACGTGGAAGGCCCCGGTGCTGGTCAGATCTGGTGGGGCTACGGCAACGAGCACAGTTTCTTGATAGGTTCCGCGGCAAAGGTTGTCAGTCAGGAGGACACCGGATGGAGCTCGCATGAGACAAGGCAGGAAGACGATGATGATTAGAGGTCGATTCCCTAGAGAGAGGCCATGGAACCGTGAAAAGAGGTCTCAGAAGCTACCGAAGAACGAGATGAACCAGAGCATCGAGCGATCGCAGGCCGAAAAGGAAGTCACGGTGCATCAACCCTTCAGCGTGGTTGCTTGCAGAGCACGGGCAAGGCAAGCTCGGGAGTTCGCCGGTTCTGCGCATATTGTGGCCTGCGCCTGAGTTTGTCGCCCTCGCAGCGACGACTTTTGCCCATGCATGTCTTGCTTGTTAAACTGGTCCAGGCACGCCTATGTCGGCAGAACACTCCTTCTGCGGCATGTGTGGCAAAAGAGCAGCACCCCTGGACTCACCAAGCGCCCAAGTGGTGCAAGCGCTCTTGATCAAACGTACTCGAGCGTGCCTGGGCCTAGGCAGCGGACGGCTTGTGTCCTCCTCAGAGCGGCTCCTGAGTTATCTCCTGACTTGTGCTCTTGGCGAATTGTTTACGTGAAGAGTGTATAATCCCGGATCGTGAGATCACGCGACTTCGCGCTTCATCATGGCTTTACCGTAACAGGAGATACAACAGTGCTGTCGAATCTGAACCACCCGGCATCACCCGGCTACGACATGATCGACCATTTCTTGGAACACTTCCGTTTTCTCCGCACTGTAACAGGGCCATGGTGTGTCAAGGTATCACCTAGCCCCCAGCGAGACTTAGTTTGGGACGTCTTAGCCCCGCGTCTGGAATGTGATGGTGAACAGGCCATCGCATAATCTGATGAGCGAGTGTCCACGACTTTTCAAAGTGCGAGCTGTGCAGGCTGCAAAACATGAAGGAAAGTCGCAGGGTGCTGATGGAGTCTGGCATGCCCAAACGCACTTTCCTGAAGCGCAGCCTCTGTCGTCATCATGAACAGGTCTTTCTGACTAGAATGTGCAAGGGTGCCTTTAGTAAGACTAGAGACTGGAGAAGGTTTGACCGAGACTCCCTCCGATGGGCCATGCGGTTGGAGAAGCCACTCGCCGCGCAGTCGAGCCAGTGCGCAGAGTGACGGCACGTCCGGGCTCGTCGCCAGTTGCTGCCTCCAGCTGGGAGCATGTAGAGGTAGTCCTCGCGGAGGATGCAGAAGTGGTGTCGTCGCTCGTCCTGGAGCAGGATTCAACGTTCCGTGCCCAGGTCTTCTCGCGCTCCGGTGAGCAAGCGAAACTCAAGCCACTGGAACCGGAACAACCTACTTTGGGGCCTGAGAGACAGGCATTTGGATGCTGGAGGCCCTGTGGCAAAGGTGTGGAGCTTGTCCTCGCAGAGGAGGTGGATCTTGGTTTGGAAGAGCTGGTGATCCTATATCGTCACAGGAGAGGCTGCCTGGTGGCTGAGGAAACTTCTCTCCCAGACGGCCTTGCGCAGGCCGGGATGCCCCTGCAGTGCCTTGAAGCTCAAGCAAAGATTATCGCAGGAATACTCCAGGTGTGCACCAGAGTCGGAGGCCGAAGGGATCCGAAGGGATCCGAAGGGTAGACGGAGAAGAGGATGGTCCGTCCTTTGCATGGTGTCTCATGGTGAGGCAGCCGGGGCCACCTTGAATTCGGTACCAGAGGCCAGGACAAAAACACCAGAGCCGCAGCTAAAGGCGAAGAGAGCCATCTCCCGAGAGGCATGTTGCAGTCCTCGCAGTGAAGCCTGGGCCCAAGTTGTGGTTTTTGGGCCTCGGTCATATTCAGCCGCTTGTATGCAGGTGTACGAGGATGATTTCGAGGATGACAGCGCCAGAGACCAAAAGATATCGACTTTGTTCCGAGTGGCATCAGTTCTTTAGTTTTTTGCTTATGCAGGAGCCCGAGCACCAGCAATGAAAGCTCGAGAACGTGCAGCCCGCAATAAGGGGTTTTCAACCTGGAGGTGAAGCACTCGGTACAGTCTGTAACTCTAACTGGATTGTGGGTCTGGAGATACATTTAACATGCATGAAGTAAGAGGCTGAATTCGCTCCCGACAGTCCGCTTGCTGCGCGAGTGGCAAAAGAAGGGAAAAATGGCAATGGCAAGCTGGAGCACGGCAGCAAGCCACTGGTCACTAGTCTGATTGGACTGACGGCTGCGTAAGTGTATTGGGCCGAAGGACAGCATCGGAGATTCGAGCGGTGCCACATCCCAGTCTGCCACGACAGCACGTCCCGCATTCTGTTGATGGAGGGAGCCTTGTTCATGGAGGGTAGAAGAGCTCCTCTAAGGCCGTGGAGCTGCGACTTCCGACGGTCCTGGAGGTCGCAGCTCCTGTGTTTGTGGGCCTCTGTCTCCAGGGGCTGGTGGTATTCACGATCCAGGTCGGCCCAGACCTGCTCCACTGAAGACGGAGGAGGAGAAGTCCCTCCCAACCGTTGCAGAGGACAGACGGACGGCTGCACCGAAGCAGCATGCAGTGGCAAACCGCGAACCAGTTGGCTTGAAGTCCATGTAGATATGCACGAGGATGTTGCGACAACTTTCAGGTTGACCATTGTCGAATGATGGTAGCTTGCAACAGCGGAAGCTTCGCTGGAGGGCTGTGGCAAAGTTGCTTCTTCACGCACTACCGCCGAGACCCATTCCGTGTAATTGCAACAGCGTCGCTTCTGTTTGGTGGTTTACTGTCGTTGGGGTGGACACGAAGCATGTCAGGTCGACCTCTCAGAAGGGCAAGCCTGCAAGGAGAGAGCCATAGGATTCTTTGTATTCGATCATACTATAGTATAATATACTATAGTATAATATACGATAATATAACATTACCACAAGACTCGGGTATTTCTCCCGTTGGTCATGCCGGCGAGGCCAGCCAGAGGTGTCCCGGTGTTGGGACCGGAGCGGGATGAGAGCAGACAATCTAAATGAGCGGGCCCTGCCAAAAGGACGAAGGCAGATGCCCCAATGTCTATACATGCCTTTTGCACCGCAGAAATGCAGAGATGCTCAAGCCGTGAACCGATGCAGCCTTTTCTGCCAGGCAGCCATGTTCCCAGCTTGCCAGAATGGTTTTAAACACAGCTTGAAATCGCTCCCGCTTCTGCATCCGACAGCAGCAGTATTTTGGAAAACAAACCCAAAGACTGCACTGTACAGCCGAACATCTTTGCAGCGACGCCTGAAACGATTCATGCCCGTGCACCAACGCAGCGTGCGAGCATTTGGAACTGCCTGATTCACGAGGGCACAATGATTGTAAATGAATGTAGATGATACGCTTGGGAAAATGCTCGGTAGCTGCGATACTGAGCCCGTGATCCCGCAGACGCAAGCAAGTAGTTCGAAGACATCTCGAACACCCTCCAGTAATTGAAGGCTATGAAAGATACTGTCGGGCTGACAGCTGCTGACAGGTACATACGAATGCAGATTCAGAGGCGCGTAGACCACGATACTGACCGGTTTGCTCATTGCGCAAGGCCCTTGCTGCAAGGCCACATCGAGAGAATAAAAGTTTCCATCACCCCACAAATCGAACTGAAATGAAGGATACCGGTTGTTTGCGACGGCAGACAAGACTCGCTCCACAAAGCTAGGAGGTCATCAGTGTACCGCTGCAGGAACTGCAAGTAACTATCACGCGACTGCATCAAGAAGTCAGTGGTGCAACATCTCGCGATTCGTCGACAGCCCCATTGACTGACATTATGCATACATCCATCACGAGCGCCAAGGCTCGAATAATGAAAGTGCATCTCTGAAAGTCTGGAACGCGGCGCCTCGGGACGAAGGCAGAGATCCTTCCAATTTCTCTACACCTCTGCCTGCCCACGACGTGAGAAAATTCCCGGGGGGGTTGTGCGTAGCCTCCTAATTCAAGGGTTCAGTTTGCAGAAGAAAAGTGAAGGCTCGCGAGATGTCAGGAAGTTTGCTGCTGTCCAGTCGTGACACGTCCCACAGAGCGGCGCAACTCACGTTGATGCAAACAATGCCCTGCAGGAGACAGAACTTGGGGAGCCAACCCCGACTTCCAAGGGCAGCACGGTAGGCCGGCCTGGCACGGGCCGGGCAAGTCCGGCAAGTCTGTCACATGCTACTGCTTCCGCGAAGGCAAAGCGAGGAACACCAAGTCTCCAGCCCGGACCCCAAGGGTTCGGTGCAGAGAATTTGCAAATTGTCTGGCGTGATGGAGGCTGCTGGTTCAGCCTCGGCATCTGCGGACTCTCCGATGAACGGCTCTGGTGCTTTGGATGCCAGCTCAAGCCAGGTCAGTGCCTCCTGCAATGAGATGAGCATTGGCATGGACTACAGCGTGGAGCTCTCCACGGAATTGGACGAGAAGTGCGATTTCGTCGAGGTCGTGAGACCTGTCGCCAAGCGAGGTTTGGCAGGTTTGGGGGTTGCAGGCACCGTCGGCACCATTGAGGAGGCTGCCGAGGAGGCGGAGGAGCCTCCAAGAAGTGGCGAGAAGTCGGAGACGTCGGGGCAGCCCAAAGAGCAAGTCCCAGCGGCTCCGCTGGAATCGGCACCGGATGCGTTGGATGCGTTGGATGCCCTGATGCCCAAAGGTGAGGCAAAGAAGCCCGATGCATTGGATTCGTTGATGAGTTCTAAACCTGACTCGCGCCCGGGCCCAGCTGGCCCTGTGTTGGTCCCATCGCCGAAGGCGAAGGAGTCCAAATCCGAGAAGGAGGACGACGAATACGCAGATGCTTCGTTTGATGGGAGCATGTCTGTGCCGGAATCCATTAACGAAGAGGCCAGTGGCAGCGATGCCTGGGGCAGTGAGGAGGATGTGTGAATCCTTTTCATTCTTCGATGTGAAGCGTAGATCGTCCGACATCGCCTCGAACTCGAATTCGAAACGCTTGACGCTTGCATGTCATGTGCTCGGAGAAAGTCCAAGATCCGTAGCTTGGTCCCACCCAGCTTGGCCGTGCGCACTCCAGCCGACAGAGCATGCGTCTTAGCGTCCTTCATGGGGGCCTGCCGCCCTTGACAGCTGACCAAGCCGTGAGAACATGACACACGTCACTCTCAACCCTAAACCCAGTGACCGCTTCCACGGATCTTGTGTTCGAGTGCAGCATGCTTTCCAAGTTGAGCTGCGGCAGTCATGATGCCATTGAGGGATCCTCGGTTATTCGCGCGGTGTTCACCGGAGACTGGCCGAATCCTGAGAACCCTGATGGCCATGGCGGTGGGAAACCGGGCCTGGATGAAGAGAGCCCTTCTGCGAGGCTCGGGAGATCGGGATCTCCGAGACCTCGCGTAAAGTGCGCGCAACCATGAGACACCCGAAACTGTAGCAGGTCTCTCAGCTCGGGCCTTGAGCTCTGAGCCCTCGCCTTCCCCGGCGACGGGGCTCAGAAGGGGGCAGGAAACTCGTGGGTTTCCGATCACCTGCGATCTGCTCTGAGGCCCCTGCCTCTGGCGCCAAGGCTGCTCCGAAAACTCTTGCTTGAGACTGCCCAGAGAGTGCAATTCTGTAACCCCATTGTACGCCTTATACCTTGAATCATTTCCTTCAGGGGTACTGGCACGGTCTTGGCCTCTCTTTTTCAGAGCACTTTGGTCGGATGGCCAGGTCGTCGGGGCAGCGGCAGGCGCCGTGTGCTCCCCTCAGCTTCGGCTTTCTGAGGTAGAAGAACTGTGCTCTTTTAGAATTCTTCTCGCAACCCTTTTCGTGCCCAACAGTAATCCAGGAATCCCCTCTAGCAGAGAATGGATTTCTCAATGATGCAGCCCGGTTGTTTTTCCAGCAGTTGTGACGTGACAGATTCGCTGTCAATTTGTTAGTCAATTTGCTAGGTTCCTTAACTGAAAGGAGACTTCCGGCTCACTTTTACCCTGAGACAATAGGAGATCCGGCCCCTCAGTTCTTAAAAGTTGAAAAGTCAGGCTGACTTTTGTCTCTCTACTGCTTTGCACGCTCTTAAAATGAGACGAAGCCATGTGACGCTATGTTCTCCCAATAGAGACAGGCTCGAAGTGGCTGGGTTTGGCACACCCTCGGAAGTCAAGCTTCAGGGTTTCTCTTTTTCGGGTTTCGGGTGTTGGGTTTTGGGACTTTGAGGTGTAGGATTTCAAGTTCCTTGGATTGTAGCGTCCAGTGCGTTTGGGGCTTTGGGGACTTAGTGTAGGCATCAACCGGGTTGGGGTTGTCGGCTTCGCACCATGAGGTTTCCGCATCATGATGTTCTTGTTGCTGCTGCTGCGGTGGTGGTGATGTTGGTGGTGGCGAGGACACATGCAAGGTGCTTCGCCCAAGAGCGGCAAGAACATAACTTATAAGCAGTTTATTTCGCGCTTTCTAAATCTCTGCTTCTCGTTACTTATCTGAGGTGATCATTCGATATGGTGGCTCTGTGTGATGAAGCTATACTGCTTCTGCGGGTAAACCGTGCCTGCATGTAAGACCACCACGCAAAAGTTCACAAATTAGCCGCTTCTGGTCGAGGCGAACGGGGGTTTGTTGAAGAGTTTTTGCATGGTTCTGTTGTTGCACGGAGTGAGAGCGGATGTGAATGCAGAAACGGCACCTCGTTTAAGAATGCCAAGATCAGGGTCCATCAACGAAGCAGCCCCTTCTGCTGCCTGCGTGGCGTCAGAAGGGTGTAGTTCCAAACCGTAAACACACACATTGCAGCGGTTTGAGTCGTCGCATCTTGCAGAGGGACTCGGCCTGGCAAGATTGCCCATCTCCGTAAGCAAAATGCATAGTGCTGTGCCTGCGGCAGCGCGAAGAGGATCTTCACCACTCCGAAAGACACAGGACCTCTTCCGCCATGGTTCCGCCAGTCACGCTATGGGCTCTCGCAGGATTGAACTTGCACGTAGCTGCCGCCGAGGGGTTGCAGGATTCGATTTACTTGGGCAAGTTCCGATTGGAGTTGCCTTTCTGAAACGTGCGTGTCAACGGAACGTTTCTCTGAAACGGATGCTACTTGTGTAAACGGGCAGCTTGCGAAGGCAGTCGAGGCCCGAGGCTTCAGTTGCGACTGTCGCAAGAAAGATCTGCACTGGACGCTTGATGCGACCTTGCACAAGCAGCCATTCTTCGATTGCCTCACCTCTTTGTCGTGCATCGGCTTTTTGTCAGCTTGAGCTGAGGCTGCTGGTCATGTTCCATGCGGTTCTTGTGGAAGCCTCAACTGCCGCGACCGATGCCTTCAGAGCGCTGTCAAGCACCGGCATGAGGTTACTCAGCGGGAGCAGCAGGATGCCTCTTGCTTCCGAATTTTTGCATTTCGTCACCGTTGGCTGAGATCTTGTGAGCAGGATCGGATGTACCGCGAGAAGATCCAGTCTCTCCAAGAGGAGGCCGGGCCGTGGGCTCCCGATGCGCCACGTGCCACGGAAGCGCAAGGAGTGATTCCGAATGCAAGCAGGTGTTGCAACTCAAGTCGTACCTGCGAGAGGCCTGCTCATGGTTTGTAGGGAAGTGGAAGGCCCGCCAGCTTTGGCGTGCGCTGGCAGGTTGAACGGGCTCGATTCAAGGGCAGGCGCACATTTTACTTGCACTCTTTCCTTGTCACCTTGCATCTCTATCAAGACTCGCCGCTGCGAGAGGCCGCCCGCGGAGTAACGGCGCGGTCCTTGCCTTCGCCTTCGCCGCCGTGCGGAAAGAGAGCAGCTTGAAGCCACGGTCGTGGACATCGAAATCGGAGAAAGCCCAGCGGGTTCTGGATGCGCACCCCGCGAACCTCGTCAGCATCAGTCTGAAGCCCGAAGCGATGCTTGCTCGGCAGCTTCGGGTGCGAGATGGTGTGAGGTGCTCGTCTTGGAGTTTTGCGACTAAAGCAGTGATCCATGCAGCGACGTTGCTTGAACTTCCTCGGCATCGCTTCCCTAATCATGCCAGCAGTTCTGATTGGAACCTGTCATGTTCGATTGCCCGTGCAACCGATCATCTAAAGCGGCCGGGAGTTGCAAGTTGTATGCGCTGAAGATTCGCGCAGGCAAAGTCCTCAAGAGGTTGAAAGCTTGCTCAGACGGGGACTCACAGGGCCCACAGGTTGCTGGAACAGCTTTATGCATCTCCGGCTTATGACTTGCAGACATCGTGTTTGAATCGGAAAAGCCTTTGCTGAAGAACCCTAAACCCATCCTAGGCCTTAAACCCTCGATCCCTTTTGGGGGGCCACAGGTGCTGAAACCAGGGACTCCGGAAAATCGAAAGCCCTAATCCTGGTGCCCTCAACCCTGGGCCCCTGAAGTCTAAAAACCAAGCGGCCGAACCGCCTCAACCCTGGACCTCAATGTGTTGAAATGCGGCAATTGGTTGTGGGCTCGTCTGAACTTCACGGTCCTAAAGCTCCCATGCATGCAAAAGTAGGTTTTCTTTCCCTTCCTTGGTTATTCGGCGATCTTCACGGTCAGGGCATGGAGGTCAAGGCGAATTGGCTCTTGAGGCTCACGCTCTAAGAGTTAGATGTCTGGCCACACGGATTCTGCATTGTGTGGCATGGCACGGCCAGTTGGAGCCACTTAGTGTTTGGTGTTCGCCGATGCATGAAGAATGTACTAAGAAGCTTTAGCTGTTGGCAGACTTCAACCCTTGATCGTTGAAACCCGAAAGCGCCGAGCATCGCCGAGCACGCAGCCGCGGCACCGGATGAGACACCGGGTGCCCTCGTGCTCTCCCTTTTTCCTTCCCCGGATCCGTGTAGCATTCCGACATGTGCTCACACATTCCCGGGGCTCGGGGTCCAGGAGTCGGTTTGCCCAAGCAAAGAGAATTGATTTCGGTTCAAGGCAGACCTGCCGTCTGCCACGCCACGTCATGTGGAGCATGAACGCGCACGGAAATCCATCTCCATTGATGCACATTCTGTTTCCTTGTACGCCAAGCACTTGACACATAGTTCGCTTTGGAAGATTCTTAGCTGGAGCTCGTTGTGAACCCTCCGCTTGAAGCCCGCAGAGTGTAAACCCCAGAATCACCGTAGAAAGGAGGGCGCTGTAGGCCTAGCCTAGCCCTGAGCCTCCTCATTCATCATGGCCTCGCAGTCTGCTCGGTTCTCGGGAGCATGTCGCAGGGAGGGGCTTAGGGTTACATATGTATATATATATATATACATAAAGTTTGTATACACACACATATATAACATACCATGAAATATATGTAATACATATAATTTAACCGATAGTGTAGAATAGATAATATGTAATATTAGACAAACAATGAATACACGAAAAACAGTTGGTTCGGGTTGACGGTTTATGTTCTGCTTTAGGCTTGGCCCTGCATTTAGGCGGGTTTAGGGTTGGTCGTAGGGTTTAAAGTGCAGGTTAAAATTGATAAAAAAACAGGAACACGCCCTGCGTTACAGGGTTTATGCAGGGCTTGCGGAAGATCCCGGCCCTCCCTGGCCGCCCCCAGCAGTCCCCTACCCTCCAGCTGCTGCTCCAAGCACCGACCCTCTCCGCACACCCCAGCCCCCCCCCCCC